AAACCAAAATCCATTCCCAGTGACACCTAAAACGTGAGTAAAGTGCGATATTTACTCACAGTGAGTAAAAGAAGAGTGCCTTACTCAAAACAACGAGTACAAAACTACTCAAATCTTTAAACATTCTCCTTTTTCTCAGCGAGCTGAGTACCTTTTTACTCATTGTTCCGAGTAAGGCCATGACTGAAAGAAATAATATAAAGTCAGATACTATATAGTCATCTCAACACAACTGTGTCAGTGAAAATAATGTATTCTACCAATATATAGAACAAATTAAAATTAGCATACACAGTGGTAACAAACAAAGTGATTTTGACCTACAATACATGCATGCATGGTTGTACGCACTCCGTTCAGAGTAAAGATGCAACATTCGAACCAAACTGATGCAAATACTGCAATGAGTTATAAACGATACCTACTGCATATACAATACAAGAGCAATTGCCCTCTCCTACTGAGTTCAGATTTTATTCAGTTCATATTACTTAGTATATGTCATTCCTAATTTCATTAATTAACCTCCTCTCGAAAAGAGAATGTGAGTTCATGCCATCAGTTCCACAATTACAACCTTAACTCGAAAAAGTACCAGCAAGTCAGCGACAATAAAGATTTGAGAAATTGCATTCAACGGTCGCCAGACAACCATTACAAGAAATGGCAATTCTTTTGGGTCTTTGCTTGACACGAAGCTGTCTACATCTTAACTTTCCTAGATAAATAGAAGGAACATATAATTAGAAATTAATGTTGCAGAGTGAACTACATTTATTATATCCCTTAATTCAGCCCCCGGTTTGGGTGTGCTCTAACATAACACTTATACATGGTTATTATTTGAGTAAGGAAATGCCAAAACCACATATAGTATAATATACAATAAACAATATACAGTAGTATGATATAAAATAATAAATAAAATTAATACACACTGCCACTGAGATTTAGACCGAATAATATTCTTTCAAATTTCTAGGTTAATGTTTCATATGAGTTTTTATACCTAATAATTTCTAAACACTTAAATATTTTTATATTATTCATATATCGATATATGTCAATAACTGTAGTCCCCAATTAATCAGCCACCATGCAAATCAGCCACCAAAGAGTGGTGACGGCGAAAGGCTGCTTGTCGCCACACTTGCACAGCAACACCAGAGTGTAAAAGTATAGACATATATGTTGTTCAAAACTGGAGAATATATAATTCTTTCAAATTTCCAGGTTAATTAATAATTTCCAAAAAGCTTTCATTTTTTTAATGTCATGCACATATATACCTATATACAAGTTCCCAATATCAGGCGGCCAATTTGTTAATCAGCCACCAAAGAGGGGTGCCGGCGAAAGGCGGCTTCTCGCCACACTTGCACAGCAACACCAGAGTGCAAAAGTATATACATATATGTTGTTCAAAACTGCAGAATATATAATTCTTTCAAATTGCCAGGTTAATTAATAATTTCCAAAAAGCTTTCATTTTTTTAATGTCATGCACATATATGCCTATATACAAGTCCCCAATATCAGGCGGCCAATTTCAATCAGCCACCAAAGAGGGGTGCCGGCGAAAGGCGGCTTGTCGCCACACTTGCACAGCAACACCAGAGTGCAAAGGTATAGACATATATGTTGTTCAAAACTGGAGAATATATAATTCTTTCAAATTGCCAGGTTAATTCATAATTTCCAAAAAGCTTTCATTTTTTAATGTCATGCACATATATACCTATATATACAAGTCCCCAATATCAGGCAGCCAATTTGTTAATCAGCCACCAAAGAGGGGTGCCGGCGAAAGGCGGCTTGTCGCCACACTTGCACAGCAACACCAGAGTGCAAAAGTATAGACATATATATGTTGTTCAAAACTGGAGAATATATAATTCTTTCAAATTGCCAGGTTAATTAATAATTTCCAAAAAGCTTTCATTTTTTTAATGTCATGCACATATATACCTATATACAAGTCCCCAATATCAGGCGACCAATTTGTTAATCAGCCACCAAAGAGGGGTGCCGGCGAAAGGCGGCTTGTCGCCACACTTGCACAGCAACACCAGAGTTCAAAAGTATAGACATATATGTTGTTCAAAACTGGAGAATATATAATTCTTTCAAATTGCCAGGTTAATTAATAATTTCCAAAAAGCTTTCATTTTTTTAATGTCATGCACATATATGCCTATATACAAGTCCCCAATATCAGGCGGCCAATTTTAATCAGCCACCAAAGAGGGTGCCGGCGAAAGGCGGCTTGTCGCCACACTTGCACAGCAACACCAGAGTGCAAAAGTATAGACATATATGTTGTTCAAAACTGGAGAATATATAATTCTTTCAAATTGCCAGGTTAATTAATAATTTCCAAAAAGCTTTCATTTTTTTAATGTCATGCACATATATGCCTATATACAAGTCCCCAATATCAGGCGGCCAATTTGTTAATCAGCCACCAAAGAGGGGTGCCGGCGAAAGGCGGCTTGTCGCCACACTTGCACAGCAACACCAGAGTGCAAAAGTATAGACATATATGTTTTCAAACTTCAAAACTGGAGAACATCAGCCATCTTCGGCAGAGAGGGCAACAAATTTACAAATTATAGATTACAGTATTTGTTTGCAGTCATAAAAATACTGAACTGAAGTGCCTTAAATTATTAAATTAATTTGAAAATGTTGATTCATGTGATGAAAAATGTCAAAACCGAAGGGTTTGCCTCACCGCAGCCTTTCTATAGTACATAATAAAATACAATGATAATACATGTAAAATACTCACGTCAAGTCCTTTTGTGTATTTTGTTGGGAGTCAATCTCGTTCCGAGAGTATGCCTGTTCGCGGGTTAGGTAGTGGCATGACTCTGGGGAAATCGAATTTTTTTTATCCAAAATGAGATAAATGGCGCATGCGCTTTTATTGCTTCTGTTTATTCCGCTTACTAAATTCGCGCGGGCACACGCTCACAATCGATATTGTTTTAAACAAAGATTCTCATCAGAATATAGTATACAAAATGGGTTTTTATACGTTTGAAGGTGCTTTAAATCGTACTACTATTAAATTATATTCAATGGCAAATACTGAAAGAGCTATGAAAGTTGTTCTAGCGAAAAGAGGGCTTGAATATTCGTTAAAAGACGAGACATTCAAATGTATCTCGGCCATATAAATGTAAAATGGTGAAGATGTTTTGGTTGTTTTGCCAACAGGTTATTGGCTTATTATGGCAAATATTAAAATATTTCAGCTGCTACCTGACGTGTACGACGTGTTACTTGGCGTAACTAATTCTATCGTGATAGTAATATCGCCACATGAATGTCAATGATCAAGGCATTTCTGCATGCATGATGTCAAAGTATGATACAAGGCCATTCTGTGCTACACTATATTATGGTGATGGCAGCGATATCAAATTACCATTGGATCGACATGAGAACCTGACGTATAAGCTGTTCTATATGCACCCAGAAATGTGTGTCTGTGACAAGAAAATACAAGCTTTTTTGAACTGTATACTGTAAACCTCTGAATATAATGCTCACCTCATTTCAAATATAAGCCCCCCTGAATATAAGCCCCCTGAATATAAGCCCAGTATCCCACTATGTTATTTAACATTGACATTGTCTTTTAATATAGCAGAGAATGATATTTGAAACACTGTCATTGTCTTTATAGCTTACTATGTTATTAATGTGTTATTAACACATGTTTATTTTCCTGTTTATGACTGACTTGTTTATTACTAACACAATTGATCGTCCATGTATAAGGCCCCTGTGCATATAAGCCCTCCCCCTCCCCCCCCTAAGCCCATCAAAAATCACTTACAAAAGAATATAAGCCCAGGGCTTATAGTCAGAGGTTTACGGTATTATATATCCCATATTTTAACAATAAACACATTATTTTTTATATTATATTACATTAACATATATACATGGATCACATATTAAGTCT